CCACCGCCGCCTCAATGGTGTCCTTGGTCATCTCACCCCCCCAGTGCCCGCTCGGCAGCCTCTGAAAGTCAGGCCAGGGACCTCACAGGTGGCTTCCTCCAACATCCCATTTGACAGCTAGGGAAACTGAGGCCAGGGGTGGTGCATTTCCCCCGAGTCCCTCAGTGAGGACTAGGCTAGTGTTCTGTATTCCTGTTCAGCCCAGTGGTCAGAGTCTCACGCTGGCCCTCCCAGGGGGATTGCATTTGCAAAGAGACTACAGACATGTGGGAGATGAACTGCAAGGTGGGGGAGGGAGGCGGGGGAGGTTTGGCAGTGAGACACCGGGAGACAGTAATATCCCTGGGCCTTCTTGTCACCCTTCAGATCGGTCATTTTCATCTACTTGTCAGGCTGGGCCTGCCTTTGGCTTTCCAAGCCAGAGACAGCCCCAAGAAAATGGGTGGTGGTAGGGTGTGCCCCCAAGGGAAATGCCACGAACCTGGATCCAAAGAGGGTCTCGGAGGCCTTCCAGGAAGAAAGGGTGTTGGTGGCCAGACTGTGTAGGGGACCTGTAAAGCCACAGAATGACCAGTGGGGATCTGACCGAGAACCTCGTTCGACTACTCACTGCCCAGGTGGAGAGACAGAGGCCCACAGCGGGCAGGGGCTTGCCTACATCCCTGGGGATCCGACCAGCTGGTATGGGGAGAAGTGAAATATGTGGGTCTGTGTGTAAGAAACAGGCCCCCAAGGTTCCTTGGCTGGCGGTCCCTGGAAGGTTAGCTGTGGGAGCAGCGACAGCTTCCCATCAACCCCCCATCCCTGGTGGGGACGTTGAGTTTCCTTCCCTGGCACATTGCTGGAGGATTCTGGGCAGAGGGAAGCAGTAGACGGTCCCTCGGCTAGGAATCGAGAGGCCTGATTCCAGGCCTGACTCTGTCACCGACTTGCTGTGTGACCTTGAGCAAGTCACTTTACCTCTCTGAGACTCAGTTTCCTCATCTTTAAATTGGGGGGATATTCCTGTTTATCTCACACAGGGCTGTTTTGAGGAAAAATGAACCACTAAAGACTTTGCTAAGACACTCTCCTGGCCCAAGGATCAGTCACTATCACCACCTTAATTAAGGAGAGGGCCCACTGACGTCCACTTACCTTCAGAGACAGCGTACTTCTTGTGGCCTGGGGACGTGGTCTCGGTGGAGGGCGCAGTGGGACTTTCCTCCACATCTACGGCACAGAAAGGCCCATGGGGACTGAGCTCCCATGGCCCTGTCTTTCTCCCCTCCCATCACCCCCAAGCGGAGCAATGGTCTGAATTCACAGGACCTGGGGGTGAGCTGGGAGAGCAAGCTCAGGGCTTCCATGCCTGCTCGGATGGGTCTTCGTCTTCTAAAGACACTATCATTGCTCCAACCCCAAGAGTCAGACTTGCCTGGGTTCCAAGGCCGACTCCCCAACTAACTAGCTCTATCACCCTGGGAAGGTTACTTCCTTCCTAAGTTTTGATCGTAAATTAGGGATAATAGAATCTATCTCACAGTGTCGTTGTAAGGATTAAATGAGATACAACACAAATAATGCTTAGTGCCTGGCTCGTGGTAAGTGCTCAATAAAGCCCTGAGCTACAGACCCGGCAGGGAAGTAGGAGCAGGTCAGGAGCTGAGGGTGCAGATCGGCATTGTGGGGAAGAGGCGGGCATATGCTCACGGGGTCTGTGCCTCACTGAGGAGAGGCTCACGCTAGCTCTCTAAGAGGCACTAGAACATGGCATTGACTTGTCAGGGGGCTCAGCCTCAATTTCCCCATCTGAGTAATAATTGTACAAAGTTTGCTCAAAATGTGTAATCGGGGTGATTATTCTTATGATTATTATTTCAAGGACTGGATTGTGACGGGCAATATATTGTAAGGGAATAAGCTAGAGTATGGGAAAAGCTGCACGCACAAATATGTTCATGGAAGCCTCTGGTCCCCCATGAGACTGTTAGTAGCTCTGTGAGGGCCAAGGAGATCTGTTTATCTCTGGGTGCTGGGGTGGGGGCAGGATGAGAGAGAACTAACGACTGAATGCCTAAGGCAACCGGGAGGCAAATAGCATGGTGGTTAACCTCACAGGCTCTGCGGCCATGGAGACACTGCCTGGGTTCAAGTCTCGGCTCTACCACATGTCAGCTGTGTGATCCCGAGTAAGTCACTTAAACTCTCTGAGCCTCAGTTTCCTCACCTCTTAATGGGGGGCAGGGAAATAAAAGAAACCATCTCAGATGATTGTGAGGAGTCATGAATAATTAGGACAATGTGCAGCCCACAGAAAACTCTCAGTACGTGTTAGCCACTGTCACCCTTGGTGAGGGAAGGGGCTTGGGACAGGATAGGAGTTTAGAAGTTATAGACGCTTGGGTCTGAATCAGAGGACAGTTGAAAAGAAGAGATCTGTGATTTTGACGGAAGCCATGGGCCACCGAGAACACTGAGCTCCAGAGAAAGGAAAGGAGAGAGCAGAATTTGCCTCTCGCCTGGAAGCTCAGCCCGGCTCAGAGGTTACAGAAGGTTCCCCAAGTTTGGGAGGCTCTGAAGGAACCAAAGAGTTGGCAGAACGCTTTAACTCTGAAGGGCTCCTCACACACTGTTCCTGTTTAAAACCATCAGGGTGAGAACTTTCTATCTCTTAGGTAAAAAATTGTTATGATCTAGGTGTCTGGGCTAGTGGCCAGGTGGGACCTCTGATGTCCTTCCCCCCATGCACGGAAGAAGGCAGGAGGTCCTCACTGTACACATGAGGGCATGTAGGAAGGGGTGAGAACTCGTGTAGCCGTTCGGCTGTCTTTAGGGGGACAGAAAGACATGCAGACATTCAGGGCACAGAGGGTTAAAGCCATCCTGTGGATTAGTGCAAAGTCACAAAAAGGGCAGCTCATGGATCTTCAAGGACTGAAGCTGCAGGCACAATGAAATCAGGTGAAGGCAGAAGGTAATCTGTTGGGAATGCTAAGACAAGCAGATGGTGGGACCCAAACAGATGGCCCTGCCTCTTTTCTCTCTACTTTCCCTCTATTTATTAGGTTTCCTGGCATTTGGTGCCTGGGAGGACTCAGAGATTGGAGGCAGGGGACAGCCCCTGGGGTTGGCGGACCTTCAAAGGGGAGAGGGGAAGGGATGGTGTGGGCACGTGGGCAGGGAGGGCGTGCTGCTCCCCAGGTCCCGGAGGCTTGCTCGGCAAAGCTGTGTCAATGGTAGCGTGCTCGGGCCATGCTGTGCCCCTCCGCCCATCTCAGGCCTCAGAAATCCTGGGATGCCTGGCCTTGCCCTGGCCTTGCAAGGGCCCAGAGTGCAGACTCAGAGGGAGGCCTCCAGGGTTTTGGACATGAGGGTGCTGTGACTCGGGGCCCTGGCTTCAAAACGCACCCAAGGTGGCTCTTACTTAGGTTCTGATCTCCTGGTGCTGAGTCTTCCCTGAGCATGGTCTGGGACAACCTGAGGCCAGCAGAGGTGCCCCTCCACTGTCGGTTCTGGACCCGAGAACTGACCATCCGCAACACAGCACCTTTAGGACAGGAGAAAGGGTCAGGTGGGTACCACTGTGTCCATCCTTTGCCTCTTTCCCGAGGCTGGCAAGAATTATTCTGGCTTCAGTCTTTCGGTTATCCAAAGACGAGACGGCATTGCGCAAGATAAACCCATGAGTTATGGAGCCAGAGTGACCTAGCTTTGACCTCCAGCGCCATCTTATAGTAGTTGGATGAGGTGATAACCACTCTGAGCCTCAGTTTCCGTATCTGAAAATCAGGGATACTAATACCCACCTTGCCAGGTAAATACTACTGCTGAGATAATATTCCGAAAGCAGCAGAGTTTTCTCATTAGTTGAAAGGCTGGTTTACTTAGAAGCACCCCATTTGTATTCTTCCCCAGTTAGCTGTCTCAGAGACCCAGGTCCCACTTCCCCCTCCCACAGGCAGGTCCCTGAAGTCCCAGGATATCACCAACAGGGGACGGATGGAAGAGAGATGAAGCAACAGCACCCTAAAGTGTTTGGGGGAACCCTACTCTTGGAGAACACTCATCTGCGTTATTCCTTAAAAAAACAAAGAGTTCTATTAGGAAATAAATTCTGAGGAAGATCATACGATAGCCCATTCACTGCGTCTCTTGGTGTATATTAACATCCTAAAGGCTCTGACAAGTTCTGCAGTAAAGAAAGCTGTTAAACTTTATTTAGCTCAGTGGTTCCCAAATGTTTCTTCCTGATCTGGTATTTCCTATTTTTGTGCCGAATGGCCATTAGCAGGACAGGGAACTAGGGTTCTAGTTTCCTGGAACACACTTTGGGAAGTGCTGACTCAGATCTTATGGGACCGTGGGACTTGGGTTAAAATGGACTCCAGGTCCCCAGACCTCCCAGACTGTGGCTCTAGATGCTAGGAAGATGGTCAGAGATAGGTGGGAGGGAGACACATTCTGGATGAGGATGTCATTCAAGATGACAACGCTCAGGGAATGAGAACGGCCAATGGAGCAACAGCTCGGGCTGCTGGCCGGAGCCTGACATGAGAAAAACCGAGGGAGAGAGGGAGGGAGGGAGGGAGGGAATGGGCTGTTGATCATTTCGGTACCACAGATAAACAAAAAGAGTGCTGGGGACAGGAGGAAAGGCATTTTTGTTTCCAAACGCAATTCTTTCAGGAGGTCTGAAGAAAAGAGAGAGAAAGAGAGAGGGGGAGAAGAGGGAGGGGAGGAAGGGGAGGGAGGGAAGAGTGGAGGAGAGGAGCGGGGAGAAAAGGTAAAAGGAACTACGAAAAACAGAAAAATGTAATTCAGGAAATTAAAAAAAGTATATATAGTTCATAAACATGTGAAAAAGGCATCTCAGACACACAAAAAACTAAACAAATTCCCCAAAGAGAGAGTCTTTCCTCATCCACCGGACTGGCAGGGTTTAGAAAGATAACAGCGCTGGCCGGGGCGGACATCAGAATAACCTCAGGGGCAGGGCCAGTGTGGTAACGTGTCACAGTTTTAAATGGTCGGTCTTGCTATGCAGTCTTACTTCTGAGAGTTAATGAACCCTGAACAGATAATCAAACAGGTGCACAAAGATGTTCTTTGTAGCATCATTTACAATAATCAAAGGGTCTGATAATGGGTGCTGGTTAAATAGGTCTAATAAACCTTAAGTGGCAGTAAAGAGGAATAGGGGAGAACACAGACTCTGGAGCCAGACCCCTGGGGTTCAAAGCCTCGCTCTGCCCCTTACTGCTGTGTGACCTTGGGCAAGTTACTTAACCCTCTCTGTCTCTGTTTCCCCGCCTGTAAAATGGGCATAATAGTGTCTACCTTGCAGAGTTGTTCTGAAGATTAAACTATATATCTATATCTATATCTATATCTATATCTATATCTATATCTATATCTATA